AAAAGATCAAGAAATTCGCGAGCATCACCAAGCGCCACACCCAACCCTACACATGGGATCTTCTACATCCCTACGTCCCCCAGGCCCCCAACCCGATGAGATGTTCTGTGCATCCCATCAAGTCTCACCGTCGTTCCCCAGTCCTTCACCAAACACACAGTAGTCAACCTGAGCCAGCGTACCCTAGTTCTCTGTCATTGGGTATGAACTTTGCTCTCGTCCCTAAGTCATCCTGTGTCGAAGAGATCATCCAAAAGCACAGAATCCACCCTCCGCCACCTCGACATCCGCCTGCAGATCAACGAATCCCTCCGCGGGCAGACAACCTCCAGCTCTTCTTGGAACACCTCAACAAGCTTCACAGCAGCATCCAGTTCACCATGGAACAAAAAAAGATGGCAACATCTCATTTCTTGACGTTGAGGTGTCCAGAAAGCAACCGACGGAAGTCTTGCTCGCAGTGTCTACCGCAAGCCCACCCACACGGACAGATACCTGCACAGCAACTCTTTCCACCACCCAAGAATCAAGTCCTCCGTCAACCGAGCCCTCGTCCGCAGAGCGTACAACGTCTGCGACGATGAACACCTACCTCAAAAACTCCATCACATCACCACGGCACTGCAGCGCAACGGATACCAGTCCAGCCAAGTCAAGACACAAGACACAAGAACCATTCCCGGCCTTAGGGTCTCCAATGCCCAAAGCCAACTAGTTAGGGCCCCTAGTTCCATCACCCTCCCCTACTTAAGCACCACTTCTCATCACATCCACGCATCCTCCAAAAGCATTCGAGTCTTCCACACAGCCCCTCTGAAGTTGCAGAACCTGCTGATTTCACACAAGGATCGGTGTGACCCAGAATGCAGACCAGGGTGTACAAGATTCCATGTCAATGTGGCAAAGTGTATATCGGCGAGACTGGCATGGACCTCCCCACCAGACTAAATGAACACAAGCGAGGGCGTTATAGGCCTATGCATTGGTAGGATGAGGGGGGGGTGTAATTCGCCTATCAACTGCTTCTCAGACCGTGGGAAAGGTTTCAAATAGGGTTAACGCCAAACTATTTGTTTTTTTATTTCATGATAATTTTTCCGCAACCTCTTCCTATTCACGTTGTTCAATCGCCAGGAGAACTTGAATTCAGCATTCATTTCAAAAGCGAATTAGATTTATAACACCATGATTTCAATTAATAGAGATTTCTTCACTTGTATCGAGGTTCATCGTTCACATTAGTTCGAAATGACGAACGTTATTCGGAAATCAATTTAGAATTCCATTCTATATTATATCAAATCGTGAATCAGAACAAACGGGGCTCGAGCACCCATCTTGATAACAAAAAATTAATAAACTTCACTTCAAAGATCAAATGTCATCAACTTGGTTAGTAAACGAACTGCTATAAGAGATCTAATTTATTATAAATATGTAGAAGACACACCTGACATTCTACACTTAAGAGAATATATGAAACCATTTATAAAGTATAATTGTCTCAGCTAAACCAAGCTCCAAAACAATGCGCCGTGAAATCGGCATATACTGTCCAGTATGCATAATAATGGTCACTTTTGAAGAGAGCGCCCCATTTAGAAGATGGGTACCCTCCCCCTCCCGCCTTTTTGATTTTACGGGTCCAATTGTCTGGAGAATAAAACATGTCTACATTTTCAGAAGTGCGGTCCCCCCCCCCCCCCCCCCCCCAGACATCAACAGCTGGATACGCCACTGCATACAGTTTCAAACAGTTTTTAGTACTCAACCTGTTTATTTATTTGTCTCCTTCAACTACACTTTGATTATCAATTGTACCCCAACTCTACAAGGTCATATACGATAACAGAAACAACTATATAGCGAATTACTTTTCTGGAAATTAACAATTATTGTTTCATATACTGTTGATACAGTTATCACTCACAAAAAACTTACATTTGACTAGGCATTCAGGGTCAGTTAATTGGGTGCAAGTTGCAACTGAAAATCAGTCAAACTGATAAGATTTTTCCGCTCAGTATTATTGACTTTGGAAAAATAGTTCTGCAAATAACTGAAATTGGAGTAGAACGAACTACTATTTCTAGCCATAACATGAAACTTTATATCGTCACCGACACCACGAAGTAACACTCATGTACATACCGGTAAAAATTAGCAATCGGAGAAAACGGCATCTAAAGTTGAACGCCCTCTAGAACAACACTTTGCGTCAAAACTACAGATTATTTTCAGTTGAGTTTCTCTTTGTAGACACTTGATGTATTGATGTTATTAAATTTGCTGTTTTTGACCCCGTTTGTGTATTAAAACAACAACAAATAAGAGAAAAAAGATGAGTGCTAGTTCGTGAGACCAAAAAAGCTGCGAAACTGTAAAATTTCGTTTTCACGAAGTAGTACGCTTCAATATGAAGCCCGGGAAGGGACAGGGTGGATTTTTTTTTTGAATTTCCTAATTCGTTCGCACGAATTACTATTCGTTCGCACGAATTACTAATTCGTTCGCACGAATTCCTAATTCGTTCGCACGAATTAGTAATTCGTTCGCACGAATTGCTATTTCGTTCGCACGAATTACTATTTCGTTCGCACGAATTACTAATTCGTTCGCACGAATTACTAATTCGTGAGAACGAATTAGTCATTCGTGCGAACGAATTACTGGAGTTATTCGTGCGAACGAATTGGTAATTCGTGCGAACGAATTACTGGAGTTTACTAATTCGTTCCCACGAATTAGTAATTCGTGGGAAGGAATTAGTAATTCGTTCACGAATTAGTAATTCGTGCGAACGAATTAGGAAATTCCAAAAAAAAATTCCACCCTGTCCCTTCCCGGGCTTCATACTTCAATGTATTACAACACTAGAACAGTGTTACTTCGTGGAAACGGAGGTCAGCGCGCGCGCGCTCAAACAACAAGAGTATAACTTCGTGAAAACGTTTTTGCTCGCATTTGAGCAGAGTGCGCGCCATGCATTGCAATGGTAAATGGAACAAAAGTTGCCATGGATACTTAACGTAATAATTAAATAAAGCTCTTGAAGCTTTGAAACTTCGTGCAATGGTAGGCCTTCATGAATAATGTTTAAAAATCCAAAAACTGGAAATCGAAAAAAATATGGTTTAACACGGTAGAGTGTTACTTCGTGGTGTTGGTGAGACGGTGACGATATGTTTAACTAAAATTCCTAGTCAGTTTTCAATAACTAAGAAAACCAGTTACTATGTAGACTACTTCTCGTACGTGTATCATCCATAATCATATAAATACACATGCAGCTAGTTTCTTGCCCTCTTGTCGTAAATTTCTTTCTCTGTTATTGCCATTCAAGCCTTTTTTTGACTTGGTACATGGGGTAGCGGTACGCAGTTCTACCCCATTAGATGTTTAAGGCATATAGAATCATTGACCTTTCATATTTTTGATTGTGGTCGGTGGCAATACCACTGAAACCCAAGAAAAAAAGTCAGAGCCTAAACTGTTGAATTTTCAGCCCAGTGGATAGTACACTTTGTGAGAAAACTGTGATAAAGGCATACGCACAACCCTTGACCACAACACACGATTTCGTCAATAGCACTTTTAGTACAAAGTCCAAAATCAGTCAACTGATGATACCAAGGACAGCACTGAAGCCAGAGGCAATAAAACTGCAGGGATTTTGTAACAGTACAGGATCTCCAATTCAAGCAAGCATTCTGATAATTATAAAATGGCGCTTAGCTTTTAAATACTTTTCCGTACACCCATTTTTCACATGTTTGGGATTTTGCACAGAATGAAAGCTTGATAGTGCCATTAAAAATAACTTACATAAAGCAGTCAAATATATATTTTAAAGTTCGTTTTTCATAGACAGATGATAGTTTAAGTGTGATAAAAATATGCATTTAGCCTGTCAATTGACTTCAACCTGAGTCATTTTATGTACGTGTATATTTATACCATGGTACTAATGGTCTATCGTACGTGTCTAAACATGTCACAAAAACATGTGGATTTAAACATTTAAGCGGATACAAAAGACTGCTTAGAAATATGTTTCAACTAGAAACACCGTTTTTACATTCCAATTCGGTAAATTACTTTTGGATCAATGCAAATGATCACATGTCTTTAAAAATTGTTCACCGTTAATAATTTTTCTCAAGATTTTTTAGTACTCCATTACATTTTAAAACATAACGCAAAATATCAAGCAACGTCACATAAACCCCGAGTTGCATGTTTGGACAATTATCAAGAATAAAATTTCATTCTCCTTTCTTTTAAATATTTATCTGAGTATAAAATTGCCAGCTTAGCTATATTCAAAATAATAATTAACATATCATTCCGCCAGTGTCTACTGTTTAAAGCTAAATGCAGCGATTTGCGCTTTTATCATGAATCAGATTTACTGTAATAATAGTAACCAGTGTGATAATGATAACGATAAATACAAATAGTTTTCATATTTTTGTTTTACTTGGTACCTCTATCGACCATAAAGTAAGTTTGAATACCAAAGGTCTCTAAAATCACACACGAATCTAGATATATAATATAATAAATATACAGGGTGAGTAAAAAAAAAAAGATACCCAAATGTCGGGACCATTGTTTTAGTGAAGTTCTGCATGTAGCACTTCCAAAATCAAGGATATAAAAGCCCAATTCATGAGCTTTTTTAGTACAAGAATCATTTAAATCACTCATGTACTCTTCAAGTTACGGAGTTTTAAACACAACCACCGTTTTAAAGTTCTGTCCACGGGTCACAAAAAAATGAGTGCGTTCTTTCAGCAAAAGGAAAACAATTTGCACACATCCTATGTGGTTTGTTTTCATTTTGCTGAAAGAACACTGGACTTTTTGTGAACCTTAAAATGGTGGTTGTGTTTAAAACTCCGTAACTCGAAAAGTACATGAGTAATTTGAATGATTCTTGTACTATAAAAAGAAAGCTTATGAATTGGGCTTTCATATCCTAGATTGTAAAAGTGCTACATGCAGAACTTCACTAAAACAATGGTCCCAACATTTGGGTTTCGGGTTTTTTTTACTCGCCCTGTATTTCTAGATTCGTGTTTGGAGCAATATTTTATGCGTTTTGTTATGACCAATGGTTTCTTATAATTATATGTAAGTTGAGTGTAGAAGGCCTATATTATTGTTAAGATATTATACATGTACAATGAAGTTCGTTGAAATAGTACACGGAAAAAAACCACCACATAAAACATGATATATCATGGCTACAACCACTACGACGGATCTAGCATACAGTTTAGAGTAAAACTCGGTCCGTCCACCCCTAAACATCATCCATCTACTTCTCACGATGAATCGGGCATCCGGTACCCAATATCTCCTTCCCACTTGACACATCAGATATCGGTATTTTACCTTCCATGGCCTTCAGGAACTCATCTGGTTTGTAATACACCTCTAACTGACCGATGAGAAGTTGCTCATCAACTGTAGCTATAGCGAAGCCGTGCATTTCAACCACTTGCCCCTCACCCACTCTGCCCTTGTACTCTCCGCTGAAATTGGACCAGTGACGCCAGGAGAAAGCCACCTTAGGCGGCCCTGAGAAAACTTGCAACACCTCCCATGCAAAGCCATCAGGAAACGCCCCTCGGAAGACGCTGTGGGAACTCTCAAATGTGTGCTGCTCGCTGTCGTATAGCTCCTTAGAAGCAGTGGAAAGCAACCAGTTGTAGTTACCTATGGTTGATGACTCTTTACCACTGAAGACCTTCTGGCCGTTCGCCTGGACCCTGTATTTCTCCTTGTTGATGGTGGTCCAGGTCATGTAGTCAGGAAGATGTGAACCTTCCATTTCCCACTTCTTCACCAAGTTCTCAACGATCAGTTCAAGAGAACCTGGCTTATGGTTCATGGTCTTTCCTTTGAAGTATAGCAGATCGGCTTTGCGATAATCAGGCTTGCCCTCACGCCATTGGGCCGGTGGGTTGTCTAAATCTCCTCGATCTGGCCGCAAAAACCCATGTTTGTCGGCAAGTTCCTTGAGTTGCTGATCGATGTTACTTGATGAACTCATGACTTGTATATATTTCTCTGGCCCTGTGGATGGTGCCGTAGAAATTGGTGAATTTGCGTGCTTAGAATAATTCGCTGCAGCCGACCCAACTTTCCTCACACCTAGCGATGCAGGACGAGTGTGCACAAAGCAATAGTGTCAAACACAATAATACCAGACTAGATTTTAGCACGGATCCTACACACAACGATTTGGCCCAATTCCGCTGCCCGTACTGGTGGCAAGTTTATGGTTAAAGTCAGTTGTGTGTCTATGTGACCTTCGGGACAAGCCACGCGTGTACTGAATGGGTCAATGCCGTCTGTGTATATGGAGATCAATGGTCAATGCCCATCATGCATTATGCATAACTCCTATGTGTAGCAAGTATGCGTGAGGCCAGTACCGAAGAGTCCATTGTGACAAATGGGTAAACCGCAACGCGTAACTCCAATAAACAACAGGTATTTACACAGGCCTACACATTGGAAACATCATCTTTCTCTATGGCAAAATACAGGATTTAGTGAAAAACACAACAATGAAAATGAAGCAACCTGAAAGAAGATCTCACATGAATTTTAGCCATACGAAAATCCCAAATAATTTACGGACACTGCTGGGCTTGCAATCATGCACTTGAATTGACCACGCTGCGCGCATGCCGAATGGTATTCCCTATTTAGTAATGGTACGGACCACCTTCACTGCACTTAACTTCTTCGACGAATTCCTTCAATTTCCTGTGGAAAAACCGTATAAGTTCATGTAGGATGAACACTGCATATGGCAAAAACATAGTAAGTGCCAATTTCATTTCATATATTTCATATTTTTTTCCGTTCAGTGAGCATAAAATACAGCAAATCCAGTCACATCCACCGCGCGGCTAGCTAGAAGCTAGTAAGTGGACATGACGTCACGCGAATGTTATGCTTATCCCAGCGCTAGGTCACGACGAATACCATTGGATAGCAGAACGATGGGCTTCAAGTTTTCTTTCATTCCGACGACATTTCTCAGCCAATAAAACGAGTTTGACATATGATATGGGGAGGTAACTAACGCAGAGAATGCCGGAAAACCCGCTGTCATTGCGTAATACATGGCCGAGTTACAGCTTCGCAAAGTCGCCCCATCTGATGCGTGAGGGTAAAACTGCGTGTGATTACACTGAAAAGGGCCGCTCTGGTCTCTCATAAAAGCGTTTTTAGAAAGCTGGTCCGACGACATTGAATGCTCTATTCGAGTGAAATTTTGGAATTTCGTAGGAAAATATATAAAGATTGGAATGCCGGGCGACGCCGGTTTATACGTTTTTTCGTTTGGAGACTAAAACCATTTTTTCACCGGTGGACCGGATTCGGAGCGACTGCGGCTAACCCGTTTTGTGCGTAACACGGAAACACGTCCATATCGGTGTAGCAAAAGAGACGGGTCCTACTAAAGCGCGTCAACAAGCGTCAACAAGCGTCAACAAGTTTTAGTAATCGTTAAGTGCGCGTCAACAAATTTTGTATAGGCCTTTGAACAATAAAAACAGCTTTATATGGTAGAAAAAGCAATAATGAACATCTTCTGCATATCAATTAAAGTTAAAATTATTTTAAAACTTGTTTTTTTGAACGCGAAATGTACGACGAATTTGTCGATAAAAATAGGCCGCCATCTTGTTTGGATGGCGCTGTAGTCTTCGCGCATGCGTAGTATGGCTCTTTACACTTCACGCATGCGTAGTACGGCTAGCTACACATAAACAAGATGGCGGCCAACTTTTATCGACAAATTCGTCGTACATTTCGCGTTCAAAAAACCAAGTTTTAAAATAATTTTAACTTTAATTGATATGCAGAAGATGTTCATTATTGCTTTTTCTACCATATAAAGCTGTTTTTATTGTTCAAAGGCCTATACAAAATTTGTTGACGCGCACTTAACGATTACTAAAACTTGTTGACGCTTGTTGACGCTTGTTGACGCTTGTTGACGCGCTTTAGTAGGACCGAAAGAGACTGCTTAACACCGACCACTGCGCGCGGTGGATTTCAGATTTGCAAGGCTCTGCGCCCGATCTGGGCTTGAAGCCTGTCAAGCCAGCGAATTATATTATTGAATATTCATGAGTCTACGTTTTTGGTCTTTATTATTGAATTCTGATAAGTGATAACTCCATAACCAAGGTAATGCCAAGCACAATATCTTTAGCTTTAATTTAGTTGTTAAACATTTAAATGTTAAAGGGAGTGTACATCTTTGGCTTTTACTGTAATTTTTAGAAATGAACTATTTGAGGGGTTAGTATAATAGATCAAATATTGTTACACCACAACTTGTTTGACGTTTTGTGTTCGAAAATGCTGGAAAAACCAAGTAAAACAAAAATGTTTAAGCAGTCTGGTTCCCTGACTCCACTCAAGATGAAATAGATCAATATTTATAGATGCCGGAAAATTGTAAGTTAAGGGAACCAGTCTAGCCTACCTGCACCCATTCATAAACATGCAACCAATAGCAAACAAAATTTGGACTGAAAAAATGGTAAATTTGTATCAGTAGTTGAAAAATAGTCAGGTTTTCCCAACGGTGGTCGGCCGACCACCGTTGGAAATTTATACCAAAATACTTTTTTTTCTTGAAAATTACTTCACACCAGATGCCATAATTTTACAGGATGCATTCCACTGTCATTTATCAACATCCTAGTAAAGTATTTCGTAAAATCTTGGTAGTTTTATTTTTCGATGTTTGCAAATGTTGTATATTACCTTTAAGGTCATCGGTGCATGAATAAGGTACATTGTGATGGGCTTCGCGCGCCCGCTAACTATAACAGAAAATTCTGTGCCGCGGTAAATGTATTTCAAAGATTAGCTAGGAATTTTGGCTTATGCCTATGCGTACATCCCGTAATTCTGTGCTTCAGGGTTAGCGCATTTTTTTTCTGCTAGCGCTGTTAGCACAGAATTTTTGGTTAGCAGAGCCATGAAGTAAACCATTATCATGTTGCGGCCATCTTGATTTTTTCCCCATTCAAATAAACGTAATCGGCAAGACTGGAAGGAAAAATAGTCTGGTTTCTTTTTGTATAAAAAACATTATCATTCAGTACTGTTTTTGGATACAGGGAACATGACTGAAATGGTGGCAGCGGAGTTTCGCCACGTGTGGACAGCGTGGAGCCCGGTTCACGGGTTCCAGTTACTCGCGATCGTGCTGGACCATCTATGGCACGCTGTAAAAGCATATGCACAGCCTTGCATTCAAGGCTATCAAAAAACACCGACTTTTAATTTATCAAACCGGTAGGCAAAATCGCCAGTGTTTCCACGAAGAACAATTTCAAGCATTTCATTAAGCATAAGTTCAAATACTGAAAATTAATATCCCTCTCTTTTTTATATAGGTTATAGCTGTCAGAGAAACCTTCTAAATTCAGCGAAAATCATAGGTCATCACCACACAACTGCACATAAATATTGATAATTAGGTCGTTATCAATGCCAATATACGCAAGTTTTGGTTGGCGGGCCAAAATGCATGTTCGTCCACCCATCAGCTGCTACATGTGTGTATTTGGTTGCGAGTTGATTGAAACTCACAAATAGGGAAAGTATAGTTTTTCTCGTAATTATCCTGATAATATTTTGATTTATAGCCTATTTTGTATTTATGATAACAAAAAGTCATGACAACATTTTTTAACAACAGAGTTCTATAATAACTGAACTGGTTACCATGTTAACAATGGGCATCCTACGTAATTGTTTTTTTTTTGTATACCCTATTGATCTCTGGTAGAAGGTTACCAAATTTCAGCCAAAGCGTTCAGGAGTAATCGCAATATGTTCCATTTTGTGGGGTTATGGCCCCGCCCCTTATACCCATAGGGTTATAGCGTAAAAAGGGTCTGGCCATTCAAGGGGTGATAACCAATAAGGCTATTATATCAAAATACGAACTATATAGAAATGTATTGAAATGAAAACAATGGCGACCAGATTTTGCCACCGAGTTCGGGTGGTACCATCATGTCGGTTTTAAGGCCGTTGTCCAGTCTGTTCTGGGTTGGCCTGCTTTCTCCCTATGGCTCCTTTCCACTTGCCCTGTCCGTCGCATCCCTCGCATTGACTCCAAGCAGTCGCATGTCATCTGACACGGAGCCCTGCCAAGTCTTGCGCGTCTAACGACGTACCAATTGGTGAATTTTGTGGTCTTGACCCGTGGACTCTGTGTTTACGCAACATTGGTGAATATCGAAACTTTCCGCCGTCGTCTGAACTGCCAGCTGGGGTAGTCTGAATGCCCCAGGTCGTACCGTCTAACGACGTACAAAACTAAGACTAGCCCTATACCACGGCTAGCGAGGATGGTTACGAACACTGTTGCGTAAACACTGAAGAAACATGTGGCTGTTACTACCTCTTGAAGTAAAGGAAAAAATATCTTTTTTTTTTCTAATCCCTTGTTGGCCAATTTGCGGCACGGCCGACTGGTTGGTTTGGGTAAATACAATAGACTGTACCCAAATCAAACAGCGCCCTCCTATTGTGTCTGTCATACCTCAAATAGGCTAATACCAACACCGCATTAAATGCCACTAAATGGCATGGGCGTCGCCAGGATTTTTTTCAGGGGGGGGGGGGAGGGGGCAAAGCAAATTTTGCCCCAAAATTCCTTAACTTTTTCATTACATTCTTAATTTATCATTTTTCCGAGTGCGAGCAGGGAGCATTTGCCCTACCCCCCCCCCCCCCAATCAATTAACAGCAATATGGCTTCGCACCTCTTTTTCCTTTTTTTTTTCGTTTTCCGCCCCCCCCCCCCCCCATGTAACCCGAATCCTTGCCTGATTTCAGAATAACTGCCTCGGTCAGTTAGATAGTTGTATATAACTTGTACTTGATAATTCTGCATTTTAGCTTAAAGTGTTATTCATGTATTCTATATTCCTTGTAATTTTATGTTGAAGTAGTTTCAGTTCATGACTTTTAGCAACTCTTATTATGGCATGTTAAACGTTGCAATATTCAATGTTTTACAATATATATGTTGGATGTTCAATATGTGTGTGTTATCTTTTATATTTATGTGCGATGTTCAATATAAGTGTGCGATGTTTTTCATGATGTGTGCGATGTTTAATATATGAGTGCGATGTTTAACCATATATGTGCGATGTTAAATATATGTGTGCGATGTTTTACATTTATGTGCGATTTTCAATTTATATATCGATGTTTGACGATATATATGTGCGATGTTTTCAATATTATGTTCGAAGTTTTACATTAAATGTGCGATGTTTTT